GTTTCAGGAGTTTTAAGCAACTTTGTACAGGGAGCAGGACTAAAGATCACACAACACTTGCAAGAAACAAAACATGTTGCAGCCCTTGGCGAGTCCCTTTAAAGAAAGACTTTAGGGACACACAAGCTGACACTTTATGCCCAATTTCTTCTGCCATGTGCCAGAGACGCAGTCTGGGATTTTTCCTATGAGTAAGATGCCAGTCATGCTTCCCTCTTCATAAAAAAGGTACTTTATTTTCTAATTACAAAGCAATTTAAAATAAAATAAAGGACGTTTGACAGATGGCAACCCTTGTAGAATAGAGGCGTGAAATAGATGCCAGTCAGTAAGAGAAGGATGATAAAACATCACTATACAGGACCATAAAAAGATAGAAGGTACTAAATAACTGTTCCACAGAATATTATTCCTTGCAGATGGCAAAACATTATGCAGGTAATTTTAGGGTGCTCTCTAGGATTACAGAACTTACTTTGAAGAAACGTAACAAATTAAAGCCTGCGTTTTTTCTCTAATCTAATCAACAGTCACTGCTAAATTTTCTATCTATCTATCTATCTATCTATCTATCTATCACCAGTGCCGTAACTGAAACCAGGCCCATCACTCCAGGGGGCTCTGCCACCATGTCCTCCTTTGCGACTGTCCACTCCGTTCCAGCTTGTCAGAGCATTAAGCATGGCAGAGCGGAACGTGGGTAGAGGGACACATGGAGGGGCTGGGTGGGAGAATAAGTCGCATGCGCCAGGGCCCATGGTTTCTAGTTACGCCGGTCTGTCTTTCTGTTCAGCTGTCTGACTTCTCTGTTAAACTAAAGACCAACATCTATGATTCTTTTTATAATTTCCATATAGACAGCAGCATCACATGCAGTACTTAGAGGAGGGACACTGACCCTCGTTCACTGACAACAGAGAGGCCGCAGGAATGAAAAAAAAACACAATATCTTTTCATCTAAAGGAATATGGTTGATACACGTCTAAAAAGTAAGGTATATTTATGTATACTAAATATACGGCACGTGAATTTTTATTAATAGTTTGAAAAATGATATAAACAAAATAAAAAAATGATTAATAGACTATGAAGAAAAATCTGAAATGTTATATGAACACATATAGTGATAGTTTAAGATAGGAATATACATTGTTTTAAATTTTTTTTACAATTTCTAATGTTTACTAAGCATCGCTCTGTGTTTGAGTAAGTGTTTGATTGTCTTTGCCTATGAAAATGTATATTTATACCTAGTCTACAGGCAAACACGTCATATATTGTCCACCCCATTCTGTCATACTAGGAAACCTTCTTCATTAGGGCTGCGGAATATGTACCTACTGTATGTACCCTCACTGTCCTCTGCCCAGCGTCTCATTAAAGAAAGAATTCGCTGACTCCTTTTCATCTCCTTCACATGCTTTATGTTAAATCCACCAAGGAGCTCTCCTGGAGGCTTTGAAGTCATCGGGTGTGTGAATAAAGATGTCATAGACACGCAGTGCCTTTTAATGAGGACAGAGGTTTTGATGTTGCAAAACTACAGTGCCCAAAGGAAGGAAAATTGGTAGAAGAATATGATTTGAGGAGCCTGCAAGGCCTCTTGTCTTATCTCCAGTTGTATGGACAGCATTTGAACGAAAAGAGAGCGTTTGAAGCCTTGCACAGGCTGCTCGTCTTCTGATGCCCTCGGCAATTATTTTTAGATTGTCAGCATTAAGGAGCCAACACCTTGAAATGGAGCATACGCTATGCATGGCATACGGGTCATATTCATGTTCTTTTAATACATGCTGACCCCATTCTATAACTAAAGCACTATACCAGCCTTTAACCGATAACCTTTTCCAGTGTAAAAACGCTACTTCAGTTAGGAAATGAATATAAAGGCTCATTAAATGTACTGTGAATAGAAAGAGGAAAGAGGAGACTTTTTTTTAACTTCCTCTGTACCTTATTGTTTCATTCAATTAGTTTAGCTGTGTGTCTATACTTTAACTGACTCTCTCTAAATTACTGTTAAACATTATGTACTGAATGGAAATTGCTTAACAATGTAACATTAGACGTAGCGTCTCTGTTCTCTGACATTTGTAGAATTAAAGAAACTCCGGGATACACTGGCACAGAAAACTTTAAAGCACTTAATTTAATTTAAATTAAATGAAGTGCATTAAATATTTTATGCTAGGGTTGCTGGGGTTGTGCTATCTATATTAATGATAATCTTCACTGGCTGATAGTGGGGAGACAATTGCAAATTATATAGGAGTGAAATATGAGGACAATGTTGAGCAGAGCAAGAATGTTTCTTGGATCCCCTACCTTTTTTTCTACTTTAAAGGGAAACTATAGTGATAGAAAAGCAAAGTTGTTTTCCTGGCTCCCTATAGTGCCCACCAGCCCTCTCCTCAGTGCAGAGGGGTTTCACTTACCTGGGTCCAGCACACTCGGGTCCACCTCTGCTTCGGATATCAGTTGGGGAGATCTAATGCCCATGCTCGGCAATGGCCGCGATCGCATTAGGATTCCGGTGATGTCCACAAATCTGGTAGACAGCCACTAGATTTGGATTACCCCGGAAAGCAAATTATTGCAGTCTATAAAAACTGCAATAATAAACTTTGAAGGGTTAATTGTTAAGGGTGCTGGGACAATGCACCCAGACCACTTCAATGAGCTGAAGTGATCTTCGTGCCTATAGTGTCCCTTTAATTCTTCAGGATTATATTTCCTTATCATTTAGCTATTGCCCTAGCCCTCTATACAAACTTTCCTTTTTTACTTACCGCTCTCCCCAGCCTTCTTATCCCAGTCTCCTCTCGCTCCTGGTTTCCTTTAACGTTTCTTTGCTTTCTCCAGAATTCCTTTCCCATTTTCCTCTCTTCACTCTCCTCAATTCTAATTTTCCCACTCCCTTCACCACAGTGTTAATTTTTCACTCTCCTCACGCCCCAGATTACCTTTCTACCATCTTTCCCCAGGTCTCTTGTCACAGTCTCCTCTTTATGATTTATGGCCATAGACCATATACCTCCACTGACTCAGGGCTCAAGGGAAACATTTTGGATTCACTCTTATATATTGACTTAACAAAACATGACATTTTACATTTCAGTAATACACTACTTGCTGAAGTTCAGTATTATTGTATGCTTCAGTCCAATCTACTGGTTTACTGAGTCACACCACACAAAAGTTTTAGACTTTAGAAAAACAGACTTTTCTAAAATTAGAATATGGGTAGAGGAGTCATTATCAGACTGGAGCAATTTAAATGGAGTCCAAGAGAAATGGGATTATTTAAAAGTTGCACTATTGAAGGCAACAGAAAATTGCATTAGGCTTGTCAGTAAAAGCAAAAAATTCAAGAAACCACTGTGGTACTCCGCAGATGTGGCCAAAATAGTTAAAAACAAAAAGTTAGCATTTAGGAATTATAAAAAAACCCAGAGTGAGGAAGACAAAATGATCTATAAGATTAGGCAGAAAGAGGCTAAGCAAGTTATAAGAGCTTCCAAATCACACACAGAAGAGAAAATAGCACAGTCAGTAAAAAAGGGGGATAAAACATTTTTTAGATACATAAGTAGAGAAAGAAATGTAATAACAAGGATTAGTTAGGTTAAAAACAAAAGAAGGAAGGTATGTAGAAGAGGATAAAGGTCTAGCTGACTGCCTCAATTAATATTTTTGTTCTGTATTTACAGATGAAAATGAAGGAAAGGGACCTCGTTGAGAAAAAGGATAAATGAGTAATTTATTACACGTGAGTTTACAGAGGAAGAGGTTCTATTTCAACTGTCAAAAGTAAAGACAAATAAGTCAATGGGACCTGATGGAATACACCCAAAGCTATTAAAAGAGCTTAGTGGTGTACTAGCAAAACCATTAACAGATTTATTTAACCAATCATTGTTAACAGGAGTAGTCCCAGAAGATTGGAAGTTAGCGAATGTTGTGCCCATTTACAAGAAAGGTAATAGGGAGGAGTCGGGCAACTATAGGCCAGTAAGCCTTACTTCAGTAGTGGGGAAAGTGATGGAAACCATGTTAAAGGATAGGATTGATGAACATCTAAAAACACATGGATTTCAAGATCAGAGACAACATGGGTTTACTTCAGGGAGATCATGCCAAACTAATCTTATTGATTTTTTTGATTGGGTAACTAAAATTATAGATCAGGGTGGTGCAGTAGACATTGCTTACCTAGATTTCAGTAAGGCTTTTGACACTGTTGCACATAGAAGGCTTATCAATAAACTGCAATCTTTAAGTTTGGATTCCAATATTGTTGAATGGGTAAGGCAGTGGCTGAGTGACAGGCAACAGAGGGTTGTAGTTAATGGAATATATTCGAAGTTTGGACTTGTCACCAGTGGGGTACCTCAAGGATCTGTACTTGGTCCCATTCTCTTTAATATTTTTATTAGTGATATTGCAGAAGGTCTTGATGGTAAGTTATGTCTTTTTGCTGATGATACTAAGATATGTAACAGGGTTGATGTTCCAGGAGGGATAAGCCAAATGACAAATGATTTAGGTAAACTAGAAAAATGGTCAGAATTGTGGCAACTGACATTTAATGTGGATAAGTGCAAGATAATGCATCTTGGACGTAAAAACCCAAGGGCAGAGTACAGAATATTTGATAGAGTCCTAACCTCAACATATGAGGAAAGGGATTTAGGGGTGATTATTTCTGATGACTTAAAGGTAGGCAGACAATGTAATAGAGCAGCAGGAAATGCTAGCAGAATGCTTGGTTGTATAGGGAGAGGTATTAGCAGTAGAAAGAGGGAAGTGCTCATGCCATTGTACAGAACACTGGTGAGACCTCACTTGGAGTATTGTACACAGTACTGGAGACCGTATCTTCAGAAGGATATTGATACCTTAGAGAGGGTTCAGAGAAGGGCTACTAAACTGGTTCATGGATTGCGGGATAAAACTTACCAGGAAAGGTTAAAGGATCTTAACATGTATAGCTTGGAGGAAAGACGAGACAGGGGGGATATGATAGAAACATTTAAATATATAAAGCGAATCAACACAGTAAAGGAGGAGACTATATTTAAAAGAAGAAAAACTACCACAACAAGAGGACATAGTCTTAAATTAGAGGGACAAAGGTTTAAAAATAATATCAGGAAGTATTACTTTACTGAGAGGGTAGTGGATGCATGGAATAGCCTTCCAGCTGAAGTGGTAGAGGTTAACACAGTAAAGGAGTTTAAGCATGCGTGGGATAGGCATAAGGCTATCCTAACTATAAGATAAGACTAGGGACTAATGAAAGTATTTAGAAAATTGGGCAGACTAGATGGGCCGAATGGTTCTTATCTGCAGTCACATTCTATGTTTATTTAATATGAGCTAATGTTTCTACTTGCTCAGATTTAAATATTTAGTTGATTGTATTTAATTGCTAATTGCATATGCTGAATTTAATATACAGCAATATGCAGTTTCACATGTTAATTCAAAGAGGATTAGGGATTTACAAGGCTTCCATCCTTCACACTGCATATGTATATCATTTTTAAAAATATTTCTCCACTTTGTTCACTTTTGTAAGCATGTATACACTTTTGACACCACGCAGATCATATATTATATTACTTATGCAAATTCACACACACACATTTGCTACTATACTCCATTTCCACTTGCTTTGTGTACTTCATTGAGACATTTACATGCTTTCTTAGGGTGTACCAGCCTAGAGGCAGAAAGTCAAGGTGAGAAGTGGGAGCGGGGTGCACAGAATGCCACTAATACCTAATGTAGGCTGCTGCCTTCTTGTTTTCAGCTAGGGTGCCAGTGACACAGAGCTAAGCCACTCACCCATACATGATGTTAGATCCTGGTGGCGTTAGCTGTGTAAATTGAATATAGAGATCTGAAATGCCATAAATTTGCAACCAACTTCGAACACATGTATACAAAAGGTAAGAAAGTGGGGGATGCAATGTATCAGTGCTTGTAATATGGCTGCTAGAACTTCCCTGGAACCAGAGTCTCTTCTTTTCTGGCGGAATGGTGGGTATAGAAGGTAGTGTCAGGAAGCAGCACCTATAGTAGTCTTCTCAGGCTCGGTGAAATATAGGGGAAAAGGGAGAAGACACGGATATAGTGTAGTATGTTGGATTGCTTGATAGTGATAAATAAAGAAAAATATTGCACTTACAATTTTCTGGCGCTTATATTCAGCTCCAGATATATGCGCCAGGACGGTACAATCCCCGTCTAAGGGATGATGGTCCTGGTATACTGTCAGTGGCTTCTTTGGGGTCAGGGTGTTCTGGCATCAGTGCCACAAACCGGTATCCTCAGTGTATAGGAAGTGAAATAAAAACACAATATAATGTTCTCTGTATAATCTGGAATAAAACTAGGATAAAAAGTAGAGGTATACTCACAAGCGGGGAGCAAAGGGAATATTGGAAGTGTAGGTGGAATAATCCCCACCAAGGATATCACTTGCGAGTCCTCAGGTTCTTAATGATGACATTGTGATGTTAAAAAGTATAGGCTGGAAGGCTCCAAAATAGCTAAAATTAGCTATCATTGGAGATTGATAAAATAAAACAATATTGCAAAAAAAAACTGTATAAAACACTAACGCGTCTCACCTGTTAGCAAGGCTTTTTCAAAGTGTTGCAACCAACTTCCAACACATGTATACAAAATGTTAGCCTCAGAGAGGGTTCTATTCAATTCATCTGCACAAGGCAAAGTGACGTCATCATCTATACAGGAGACTTTAAAAGTCCACTGTTACTGTGCAGTAAATAAAAGCAATGCCAAGAAAGCAGAAGGAAAGAATTCCATCATCAAGTCATTTTGGTATCCTGCCATTTCAGCCTATAGCAAAGCATTTGTATTTAAAGTCAATGCTATCATACAGACAATGTAATGAAACTGGTTTAGGTTTCTGTTGAGATGCAATACATTGAATTGCACAAATTAGGTCGAAATTGATCATTTGTAAAAATAAATAAATAAACTCACAATTTGGATGAATAATATAGTGGTGAAAAATGATTCTCTATAAAGCATAAACTTGATTTAAAGACATCTTCTCATTAAAACCTTGTATGTTAAACTGGTTGTGTCTGGATCATTGGTTTTAAACTAGCCACATCCAACTTTAGTGATGTCAAACAATCTTTATGATATCAAACTTTTTTTATGATGTCATACTCTATTATGATCTTATTGGTTCTATCCTACCCAACTTAGCTCAGCTTACAAAAACATGCACACAGTATTCAGAGTATTTTGGAGATAAACTATAAAAATTATGCCAGATAATCTTTAATTATAATTTAGTGATTGAAGTTTTAGATCAGGTCTCAGCAGATAATTGGAATTTATATTATAGTAGAGTCTTTAGCTTTAGGTTTACAGTAGTTTACGTCATGTGTTTTACTATAGAAAAGGATTATGGGAATGCCCATTAATACAAATTCAGCAAATATATGATCTACTACGTCACAGAGCTGAGAATGGATGTATGTATATAAAGGGCAAGGGATCAGGATTCATAATCCTCTGCAAAGCACCCTCTGTATGGGCAGTGTCTGTCAGTGAGTGCGTGAGTATGCCAGTCTATAATATACTCCACATGTTGTTCATTAAAGTTGCAATGTCACAAATAAAAAAAAAATGGAGGTGTTATTTCTCTGAGTATTGCAGGGACTTCAGGGTTATCAATGAAATGATGCCAACATTAGATCCAGGGCCCCTTTCACTATTCTAGCCACTTAAAGGACCACTCTAGGCACTCAGACCACTTCAGCTTAATGAAGTGGTCTGGGTGCCAGCTAGGGTTAACCCATTTTTTCATAAACATAGCAGTTTCAGAGAAACTGCTATGTTTATGAATGGGTTAAGCCTTCCCCCTAATCCTCTAGTGGCTGTCTCATTGACAGCTACTAGAGGCGCTTGCGTGCTTCTCACTGTGATTTTCACAGTGAGAGCACGCAAGCGTCCATAGGAAAGCATTATGAATGCTTTCCTATGTGACCGGCTGAATGCGCGCGCAGCTCTTGCCGCGCGTGCGCATTCAGCCCAGGAGGAGGAACGGAGGAGGATCGGAGGAGGAGAGCTCCGCGCCCAGAGCTGGAAAAAGGTAAGTTTAACCCCTTTTCCCCGTTCCAGAGCCGGGCGGGAGGGGGTCCCTGAGGGTGGGGGCACCCTCAGGGCACTATAGTGCCAGGAAAACGAGTATGTTTTCCTGGCACGATAGTGGTCCTTTAAACCCCTGCTAGCTATGCCCTTGTTTGTTTCCAATATTAATGACTCCAACGATTTCTCTCCTTAACATCATTTTTCTAGTCTCTTCTTTCTTCCAGCCTCTTCTCTTAGCTTTTTTTCCTCATCTACATAACCATATTTTTCCCTGTTTATCTCTCCTACACACACATACACTACATTTCTGATTTCCTAGTCAGCCCATTAACTCTCTCTATCCTCATCCGTACATCCTCTTTTGAAACCCATGTGGTGGTTGTGAAGCAGTTATCCCCGAAGGCTATTTGTACAGTCTCTCTCGAAGGCAGTTATGTGCTATCATCTTGAAATCAAGTTTGTCCTGTCGGAACCGTGCATATCACGTGAACACAGCTCGGAACCCTATGTTGTCACTGTATTATACCTTGTGTTAAGATAAAATGCATGCTCTGTATTGCTGATGTGACGAGACTGCAGATGTTGTATTATTTCTGCTGTATCATTGTTTTTGTTATTTATGTTTTTAAATCTTTTAATAAAAAGTATTAAACTTGGAAAAAACATTAACAATGTTTTAACTCTGAATGGAAAGACGTTTTCAATGAGATGAAGTGCTTACAGTGTCCCTTTAACATAGGAGCTATTGGAGCTGCTCCATACCCATACTCCCCAATAGGCCCAGACTGCTGAAGGAAAAAGGCACACTTACGGTGTTTGGTGTTATACTGGAAGCTGAAGATCTCGTAATATGTGCACCTGCATCAGGAAAATGAAAATACACAGCCCTTTCACTCTTCTGTAAAATTGTCATAGCATTACATGTCTATGTGGGGCTGGACGTGAGGGACTGTGTTAACAATGGGGTGTTCAGGAGCTGATTATGCTTAATTTGGAAGTAGAGCATATGAATGCTCCATTGTTAGCACAGTACTTGGGCCTTCAGAAAAGCATGATGGTTAGGCATGATATGATTTGTTTTTGAAAATTAGTTGTAGATTCAACTTATTTTTTGTGTTTAATGAATAATCCCCAAAGTGTATCCCTCTTTAATCACAGTAAAACCCCCATCCTGCAAAGTCAGTTATAAACTGGTCAAGGAATGATGAGCGTGATAAATTGTTCAGTATCTAGACAGCCGCAGCTTGAACCCTGTGCAGCCTCTATGCATTTGACCAGGGCTAGGGTGTCCATGCGGATACCTTAGGGTGCCAGAGCAGGAGGGTGCAAAAATCCAAATCCCCAGCTATTGGCCAGAGGCTTGGATTATTTAGCAGCCACCAGGGCCGGACTGGGAATTAAAAGCAGCCCTAGAAAAAAAATTATTTACCAGCCCCATAATGCGTCGCGCCAGCATAGTGTGCAGATACAGAGTTAGAACAGATAACTTAATATTAAAAATTACTCCAACGTAAAAAGCGCACTCATAGGCTTCAAAATAAACAAAAGTGCAGATTTATTTTAAGCAGATGTGCCTTTGCATGTAATCAATGTTTCAGTCCAACTACCTTGACATATTAAGGAAAGCTTGTTAATGGGACTGAAATGGTGAATGTATGTAGGGCACAATTGTAAAAAAAAATTATTTTGAAGTGGGTGTGCTCTTCACTTTAAATATGTTCTTGTGCTGGAGTATGCACCTAGCAACAAGACTGGGCCAATATCAGCTCATTACATATGGTGCATATTAATGACATTTCCATGTGTATTATGCATATATAAATGTACATTATTATATGTGTAAATATAATAGGCATAATTCTCTCTCTCTCTCTCTCTCTCTCTCTCTCTCTCTCTCTCTCTCTCTCTCTCTCTCTATATATATATATATATATATATATATATAAAACTAAAACATGTCATATACCAGTGGCAGATCCAGAGCCTGATCCCGGGAGGGACACTTGTAGATTATTTAAAGAAACATTCCATGCACAATAACCACTACTTCTCTGTGTAGTGGTTATAGTGCCAGGAGTGCCGGTAACTCCTCCAGAGTAAGTAGTCAAACCGTTTAAGAACAGTTTGACAACAGCTGGAGTCTGCTGGGATATGGGGCTGTAATAGGGTATAGGAGCAGTGGTGCAATGTGTGAGGGGTGCAATGTGTGTGAAAGGTTCAGTGTGTGGGTGTGGGGGTGTGTAGTGTGTGAATGTGTAGCGTGTGTGGGGCAATGTGTGTATGGGGGGGCATTGTGTGAATGTGTATGGTGTGTGTGGGGGCAGTGTGTGAGAGTGAACGCTAGCCCGTAGCTCCAGGGCTAGAGTTAACCCTCGTGAGAGCCGGAGCGTTTCCGTGGTAACTGCTCTCTTCCTCCCTGTATCATGCTGCATCAGTATGCTGTGCTGGGGATTGTGGGAACCGCGAGGGAGCATGGTAGATAGACATGCTCCTCCTCCTTCAGCCCTCAGCATCATCAGTAACAGAAGTGCCGCGGGCCGGCGAAGCTGCCACCCGGCCCGGCGGCTCCAGCCTGGAACGCGGCCGTCCCACTCTGAGTGTGCAACCTGGGGACCGGCCCCC